AATGACACTCTACTGCAGATGAGATCTGATGCCTCACGAATGAAAACACCAATCACACTCTACTGCTGATTAGATCTGTTGCCTCACGAGTGAGAACACCAATCAACATCTACTGTTGATGGGATCTGTGAAAGTATCAATTACATTCTACTCTTGATGGAATCTGCCACCCTATGCGAGAAGCCAACGGCCACTTTCCACAGTTGGTGGGATTTGCTATCCTGCAAGGGAGAACTACAGCTATATTCGGTCGCAGATGGAATCTGGCAATCCGCTAACGGAGAGAGCCACCAAGTTATGTAGTAGATGGGATCCRCCAGTCTGCTGGTGACACTGTTGAAGAAACCAGCCATGGCGCTGGGCAGAGGCAGATTCAACTATACCTCTGGTTGATGAACCGGTGATACTCGTGGGAACCCAATTTATCCGCTCCGTTGACCCCAGAACCAGCCACTCCGAAAGAAGGGAAACTTATGAGATTAGGTAAGTTGTACGCGAAGGCTGGTGGGTCCACAGACATGAATGCTGAAGGGAGGGTTTGAGTGAGAGAGAAAGTCAGCGACAAAGAAAGATAGTGGGGTAGAGTTGGAAGAGAGTGAAAGAGGGCCAATTTAAGCCGCTTGTTTGAATGAGCAATCACCATTAGTTTTTTTTATTTATTTTTTTAGGGGAACAAAATAGTGTCTCATTCGCTGCGTCGCGAAGATGAACAGTTATCAATCATCATCAATTTAATAATTGTAGAGGAAAACATTTTTGAGCTTGGTTCTGCTGCAGTTAGCTGAGACTAAAGTTGACCCAATGAGGAGTCCGCTACTGATTTAACTATTTTTTAGAAAACAACTGACGGCATACTTCTACTGCCCCTCTCAATCAATCAAGGGTAGACCTGAGTACGCTGCCGGAAAAGGGGAGAGCGCAAAAAGAGAGAAAGCCAGCGGGTGACGCTCGTGAGCGGGGCAGGAGAGAGAGAGAGAGGGAGAGAGAGAGAGAGAGAGAGAGAGAGAGAGCACGTGCAGACAAAGAGAGCGCGTGCAAACACAAAGAGCGCGTGCAGAGAGAGAGAGAGAGAGAGAGAGAGAGAGAGAGAGAGAGAGAGAGAGAGAGAGAGAGAGAGAGAGGGAGGGAAAGAGAGCCCATACAGACAAAGAGAGCTCGTACAGACAGAGAGAGCGCGTGCACAGAGAGAGAGAGAGAGAGAGAGAGAGAGAGAGAGAGAGAGAGAGAAAGAGAGAGAGAGAGGGAGGGAGGGAGGGAAAGAGAGCGCGTGCAGACAGAGAGAGCGCGTGCACACAGAGAGAGAGAGAGAGNAGTAGCCAAGCTAAACTGAAACAATAGGAACCGCGAACCCCACCCACCCCACACCGCCAGCCCCCATCCAAATATTTCGGATCTCACACACTTGTTCCCCACTTCCCCTCTCCACCACCGACATCCACTCAACTCGCCCACCCATTCTACGAATCTCGCTCCCAACTCTCTACCCACCTGCAACCATACCCCATCGAACCTAGTCACGACAAGGATTAGGATCTTACCCCGACTCCTCACCGCGACTCCCACCACAACTCCCTTCTCACCCCCTGCGAATCTTTTACCCCTCCGGACCCCTCTCCTCAATCCGCCAATCTCCCACACACCCGGACCCCTCCCCTTACTCCGCCAAGCTCTTACACACCCGGACTCCCCCCCAACCCTTCCCATCCCAACCCCTCACCCTGACTCTCAACCTAGCCCCACAACCCCTTTTTACGCCGTTCCCTCAGACCTACCCGCCTTCCCTTCAACACTCCATCGCCCCCCCTCCATCGTCTCCAAGCGCTATCTATGCACCACCCGCACATCACCAAGCCCCCCCGCATCATTCAACCCTTTCTCTATCCAATCCCCATACCAATTTCCCCACGCTCACCACTCCCTTCCTCCCTACCCCGTATCAACGCTCCCCACACATTACAGTCCCACTGCTCATTACCTCGCCTCTACGATTGATATTCAGTTTTATTATTCTCATTTACTAGTATTAGAATTACACCATTATCGTTATTACGAATTTATGATGACTTATTAAGTTATTATTATTAATTTATCTCTCTATACTACTAAAGAGAACAGTGGGTCTCGCTTGATGCCCCACGCGAGACCCGGTTCCCAGTTTGGGGAACTCGGAAGGAAGGGGGCGCGACAGGCAGAGGCGGAAAGCGACGGTCCCACGAGAAGTGTGGGGCTGAACGACCTGGGCGGTGGTGTCGGGCCAGCAGGGGATGGGCCTGGCGGTCGGAGTCGGGGCGAAAAGACCCGGGCAGCGGTCGGTGTCGGTCGGTGGCAAAGGGGAACGGGCTCAGCGGTGGCAGGCAGAGGGGCGGCGAGCGGACAACGGCGGGCCGACACAGTCGGAGGCGGATGCACGGGCACGAGAGAGAGAGAGAGAGAGAGAGAGAGAGAGAGAGAGAGAGAGAGAGAGAGAGAGAGAGAGAAAGAGGGAGATTGAGAGAGAGAGAGACGGGCAAGGTTGGGGTAATGGCCCCCAACGAGAGCAAAGCCATCCCCGTTAACAACGTTTTGAAAAGGAAGTCCGCTTTCGCACTGTGTTTCGACGTGCCAACATAACATTGGTCACTATTACTTGAAGACAACCCAAACAGAAGATCAGGGATTGGGCGCTGAAGGGGGACATGAACACAGATGTTTACACCTTTGGGATTTCGCGATTATCATGATTATGACATTTTCCCATGTGGCTAAGCTGGTGAATAATTGCTGCCAACGGCGTTTTGAAAGGGCAGCCTGTTTTCGCACTGTATTTCAATGAGCTGACATGTTATTGGTCATCATTACTGGAAGGCATCCCCAACAGAAGATCAGACATTGGGCACTAAAGGGGGGTATCAAGACAGATGTTTACACCGTTGGGATTTCGTAGTTATCGAAATTTAGACATTTTCCCATGTGACTGAGCTGGTGAATGCTTGCTGTCACCGCGGTAATCTGATAATGGCTATGTCCACGGAGTGTAGTGCCAAGAGGAAAAACGTGGCCAAGTGAGAAAGCAACCCTAACTAATGAACCAGTCCTAAAAGGTCTCACCAGCCTCGATGCCTGACAAAAAAAAAAGAATTAATCAGGGTGTTGGAGGAGAGACCCTTGGCATTGATTTTGCTTGAGTCGCAAACTTTCATATCAGATTTGTACATTTTGTTTTCTTTGTTTTGATTTTTCGTATTATTTAAGTGTGCAGTGGGGGAACATAAAAGCCAACTTTAAGAGAGAAGTGACAGGCGATCTGAACAACACTCCCTACCGTCTGCTGAGGACCTCTGAAGCGAGCGCGGCGAGTGACAGGCGCCGTTGCCCTTGGCTTCAGCGACCGGAAGGTGACCCCTCCCCGGGTTTCCTCACAACTTTAGCGCCGTTGCCGGGGAGGGGAGCAGCACCCCCAAGGCTGCGGCCTTCCCCAACCAACGGGTGAGCACGGGCTGATTAGTCAAACACTAATTAGCTTGTTTTCTTGATTAGTTTTATTTTTTATAATCATTGTTTTTAGTTTTTTTGAAATATCTCCCGATCCGCGCGCTTTTGTGCGAGCCGCGCCGGGAGCAAAGTTCGCCCTCTCGTCGAGGCGAACGTTTTGAGATGTTTTTTGAAAAATTCTTATGGCTAAAAAATAAGATATGGAATTTTTTGTATTTTTCTAATTAAAAATTCCAAAAATTATGAGTTAAAAATTCTAATTGGTTTTTCCTCGATATATCCTGATCTGCGCGCTTTCGTGCGAGGCGCACCAGAGCAAAGTTCGTCCTCTCGTCGAGGCAAACGTTTTGAGATATTTTTTGAGAAATTCGAACGGCTAAAAAGCGAGATATGAAATTTTTTATATTTTCTGATTAAAAATTCCAAAATTTTTAATTTGCGTTTTATTGAAATAGTCGGGAAAATAAGCGAAATTAGGGGAACCCTGCGGGAACCAAAGTTGGTCCCTGTATTTTTTCTGATATTTTGAGACCCTAGTCGGGGAAAACGGACTTCGTTTCGACAAACGGCGAGCTCCAACAGATAGAAAATGTGGAAGAAAATCAACGGGAAATTGAATTTCTTTGTAATTTTGTTTAAATGAAAAGAAAAAAGAATTTAAAAATGTAATCCAATAAGTTTTTCTTCTAAAAATAGTGAAAKCTAACAAAAATTTTCTCGCGTCGAGCAGGGCTTTGCGGTGTTCGTGCGGTTGCGTGCAAAACCCAAAACCCTAATAAGGGTGAAGTCCTAACCCCAATTTTGAGAGAAGAGGGTAGATAGAGGGAAGCCATAGCTTCTAGCTTCCGCATTTGTTACGGATTATTTTTTGTCAAATATATCCCGTAAGATTGTGGAAATTAATTTGGGAAGTTTTGCCCCATTAAATAATTAAGAATTATTTTTCCTTTTGATTTTGTTATTTAAAATCGATAAAAAAATTGAAATAAATATTAAAAATTGTGTAGGGGCATTTGTTTGACTTCAATGCTCTTCATATCTACTTTACCTATTTGAGGGACTTTTTTCCGAACCCCATCTCACCGGGGGGGGAAGGAAAACTGTTGTCGAAATTTCTCGAAATTTTCCTTTTAATTTAAATTTTTGCTAATTAATTAACAAAAATATTTAAAAATCGAGGTAAATCAATTTTCCTTTTTTTTCATTATTCCTTTTGATATTCCCTCTTCGGCAGCGCTGTTTGAGGGCTTCGCCCGAGCCCCATCCCAACGGGGGGAGGCGAAACGCTGCCGAAATTTTAGTAAATTCCCCAAATTTTATTTCTACCCCTAAAAATCATCAAACTCGGCGGCCTTATATATGTATTGATCCTTAATATATATAAACTAAAAAAGAAATTTTATCTTAACTAAATACATTTTTTTTAATTTATAATTGAAAAATACAAAAGAATTCTCTAGAAGAAGAAGAGAAAGAGACGCTGCGGTAACCTGGTTTCGGGTGAACCTACTAGCTTGTTCCCGAAGGCGTGAGGCAAGCGACGGGACTTTTCAGGTATTAATCTACACCTCCCTCTTGCTGCGTTCTCTCTAGCCGCCAGTTGAATGTGGCCGCGGGTGCAAGTAGAGGTCTATGGGGCTACCATTGACTGGGACTTGGAGCCCCCTGAACTCATAGAGGGGGATCAGGTGGAGCTCACGATCCCCAGGCGCAACATTCGACACGTTGACGGTCAGTTTGCGTGGAGGTCCATCATCTTGTCCGAGGACGTGTGGCTTTGGACGTATAGAGAACACCGGTCGGGGCAAGGAGTGGGCGTAGTGAGAGCCTACTTGTATTTGGGACCGGGTGCGGTCAAGGAGGCCGTGGTGGGCCTCGCGACGATAGGGACTAGTGGCACAGTTAGCAGGGCGTTACGCTACTTAGGGGAAGAGGTAGCTGCCTTCCGAGCGGAGGACTCGAGCGACCCGTTGACCCTATTTCACGGACGCCCTCCTCTTGATATCACGGGCGACCTGGTGGTAGCACGGGACGGGTTTTTCCCGTACAGCGTTAGGAGCCTGCGGGCGATAGTTCCGACGTTCGTAGTAGAGAGCGTCTTTGGAGGTATTGGTAAAGTGGTCGAGACATACCTGGCCTATCAGGATCTCAAGATCCTGGCGAGAAGGCCTGCCGACCTAGACTACATCTATTATTCGCTCGCAACCGGTGGGCCTCGTTGGGGAGACGAGAGGGTTCAGCTTATAGAGCTGATCCGCTCGATAGACGACGAGTGGCCCCAGTCTCCATACGTTTGGGATTGGCTAGACCTTGAGCTCCGAGCAGGCCCCGAGTACGTGACTTGCATCGGGCGACTCTTCTCAGACGACTGGGAGAGCTGGTGGGATGAGGACGCCGGGCGACCTCTGATATACGGCCATCAGTTGGCGGAATACTACCAGGGTATAGGACAGGCGCCATACCGCGTCGAGGACGAGTTTGACGACGAGGGTTGGGAGCGAGAGGACGACGAGGACGCCTGGGAGCCAGACTGGGTCGACCCAGAGAGTGAGGTTGACGAGGAGGAGATTGACGTTACAGACGCCCATTTTCCCAGGATAGGAGTAGC